TCGGCGTTCGATCACGAAATTGACTTAGGATATGTATTATTTGAAATTGTTAGAATTTTATGGTAGGTTCAATTAAAATTCGGATCAGAATGATTAAATTAGAATAATTTAATGCTCATTAGATTAGTGGCAAGCTAATTAATTAATTTCTTTAATCAAGCCTATATAAGGTCACCTCAATACCTCTTATACACTTTTGCACTCTCATTTTCTCTTGCTTGAGCTCAAAAACGTAGAGAAAGAGAGAGACTAAGAGAGAAGTGACTTCAAACAAAGGAATTGCTTAAGAATTTGGAGATTTGGCTAGGAACTTCAATAAATTAACTCTAGAGAGCATAGTTGAGCATCTAAGGTAAGAAATCCAACCTTTGGTTATGTAGTTGAGTTAGTTTTGTAAGAAGTCAAGTGAAGGAGGTGGAATGACATGAGAATGAACTAGGATTATAGAATTGTAACTCAAATCATGCATGCATGCATATATCATAGTATTTTAAGTTTGATTTCAAAGAATTTCCACTTGCATTTGTCAAGTTTATGTTAGTTTTGAGAATTCATCTTGTTTTCCACCAATTTGCTTCATTTGATCATGTTTTGGAACCTTTAAAGTCAAGATAAAGCATGCATGTTATATTTTCAATGAAAAAAGTGTTGTATTGCACAATTGGCAAGCTTTTGGGCCTTGATTTTGTGAAATGATTTTTGAATCCACCATGTTTTATCCATTTACAAAAGTTTCCTCAAGTTTCCTCAAGTTTTTGGCCCAAAAGACCATGATTTGCAACTTCAAAATTAAGCATTGTATTTGGCGGAGAAATCTGGACATTCCAGATTCTGCCTTTCCGCTCGAGCGACGAATCCTACGCTCGAGCGACCACTTTGTGTTTTGCACCTCCACTTGAGTGACAAAAGGTTGGCTCGAGCATACAATGCATGTTCCCAGAAGTTTACATGTTTTGCAAACTACTCGAGCAACAAGAGTTGCGCTGGAGAGAAGGCATGAGTCTCACACTCAAGCAAGCGTCGAGCGAGCATCAAGCGGAAAAATCTAGCAACCAGTACTTTTACAGAGTTTACAGACCACTTGAGCAAAGGAAGTTGCGCTCGAGCGACCACTCATATTTTTGTATGTCGATCCGCTCGAGCGAAGAAAGTTGCACTCGAGCGAGACCCATGTTTCAACAAGTTTTGGTAAATATTTTCAAGTGCATTTTTACACCCTTATTGCATCCTAGGCATTTCTAGGCCAAGATTAAGATACGATAATGAGAATAAAAGTAAAAACACACCAAGATAAGAAAGAATTAAGTGAATGATTCTGGGTGTGTAATTCAACACGTATTCGTTCTGTATCTGTGTAGGTCACGCACCACAAGATATCTGATTTGCCTACTTTGTCTGTTTGCTTTGGAGGCAACTTCTATGAGTAATAACTTTGTAAAGCTACGTTCAATTAATAAGTATTTTTTGAAGCATATGAAATAAGATATGTTCCATAAAATGTTATGTTCTGTACAATTAATGATTGTCCAATTTCTGACAAGTATTCGTGGCAATGATTCCGTAACGCAAGTATGTTATATGTTCTTGGTTCCGAGGTTCCTTTATGGAACTGGCAAGTTATCTGTACTCCGCCGGAGGTTACTTTATGGAACTGACAAGTTATTCTCGGTCTAGAGGTTCCTATATGGAACTGACAAGTTATCCGTACCTGGTCAGAGGTTCCTTTAAGGAACTGACAAGTATGATCTTCGATACTCTATATATGATCTGTTAGCGCTAACGGATAAACTATGTAAGAACAAGCATGAAATCTAATTTCTATCAACGACTCGATCAAGAAAACGAATGTGAGTCTTTTTCCGTGTTCGGACCTTGTTAAGGGACATCATTCATTTACCCCTTTACTCTGTTATTATTTACTGGGCTTTCGCTCACTATTTATATCATGTATTAGGTAAGCAGGCTCATGACCAGGCCTAAGTTGCTACTTGAAGAGCTTTGGGTTGTCAACCACCCTTTTGTGCTTCCCAAGGAGGTTCCAGATTAAGTCAAGTCTTGTGGCCATGTTTTGTGAATGCTTAAGACTTTGTTCTCTCTTGGTTTATGAACAAATTTCTGTTTATCTATACATGGGTGACGTGTAATTACTGTCTCTTGGTGACGTCACATGTATCTTTTAAAAGTTTAAAATTACTCGTTCCATGTATATCTGCACAGCTTAATGGACTATGTATGTTTAATATATTTGCTTCTGCAGCCCCTAATTATATGTTATTCTATTCAAAGGCTTTTGGTAATCCAAGGATTACTGGCCAGTTACGACGCTAAACCTATAGGGGCAGATTTGAGTCGTGACAGCAACTGATTCTTCCAGATGATGTTATTGGATGAATCCAATTTAACAGTCACGAATGAACTCAGATTTGAAATGAGAAGAGAGAAATTTGGTGGAAAAGACTGAGAATCAGCCATTGATGAAGGTTGTTGAGGTTCTTCCATTAATAAAGCTAGTTTAAAGCTTCATAAAGGATCGCAGCTCATTGGAGCTATCTAGCTCTGATACCGTAAAGAGATTTTGTATTATTGAATTCATTGAGTAAAATACAATCACTATTACAAAAATAGTTAAAGATCACACTTTGACAAAAAAATATATCTCACTTTTATTGGAAGTGTGATAAAAAAAATTAGATTGATATTTTAATCACACTTAATTTGATTGAGTGTGATAATATTTATTTTTTATGTCACTTTTCAATTAAGTGTGATTATATATATATATTTTTAATCACACCTTCTAATTAAAGTGTGATTATATATACACTACTACTTTTTAATCACACTTTTTAAACAAGTGTGATTATATATATATTTTTTAATCACACATTTTAATTAAAGTGTGATTATATATACATTACTACTTTTTAATCACACTCCCTAAATAGGTGTGATTGTATAAAATATTTCAAATTGATTTTTATATAAAATATACAATTCCCAAATCCGCGCCTCTATTCTACCCATGAATGATAGAGATGACTCACTACTAGAAAATGAGGCTTTAGACACGGAACTTTTTCACCCATTTTTTCATCTTCATCTCTCTCTTCTC